GTACTGAGGGAGCGCCGCACTGTCGGAGGGTCAGTGCTGAGGGAGTGGGCACTGTCGGAGGGTCAGTGCTGAGGGAGTGGGCACTGTCGGGGGGTCAGTGCTGAGGGAGCGCCGCACTGTCGGAGGGTCAGTACTGAGGGAGCGCCGCACTGTCGGAGAGTCAGTGCTGAGGGAGTGTGGCACTGTCGGAGGGTCAGTGCTGAGGGAGTGCCGTGCTGTCAGAGTGTCAGACCTGAGGGCGTGCCGCAATCTCAGAGGGTCAGTCTCGAGGGAGTGCTGCACTGTTGGAGGGTCAGTGCTGAGGGAGTGCCGCGCTGTCGGAGGGTAGTGTGCTGATGGAGCGCCATGTGGATGCATGGGTGTTCTTTGGCTCAGATATTAAATACATTCTCTGTCTTCCCTCTCAGGTGGATGTAGAAGATCCCATCTCTCCATTTTGAAAAAGAGCACTGGAGTTGGTATCAGTGTTCCTTTCTATTTGTCCTATTGCCTTCAAGGTTATGAGGACATACTCACTAAGGCTCCTCTAATCTTGTGTAGTTCATCGATTCTACTATTCAATGTGTATTTCCCAGCTGTGTTAGTCCTCCCAAAATGCATCACCTCACACTTTTCAGGATTAAATTCCATTTGCCACTGTTCTGCCCATCTGACCAGCCCGCCTATATCATTCTTTAGTCTAAGGCTTTCCTCCTTTGCTATTTGCCACACCATCAACACTGTGAACTTGTTGATGAAATCTCCTACATTCATATCCAAGATTATTAATGTACATTGCAAACAGCAAGAAACCCCTCCTGAGGTTTGGAAGAGTATTGTATGAATGCAAGTGTTTTATTTTTAATGTAGATGGCAGCATTGCCAGTATCTGATTGTTGTTGTTTAGTGAATTCATGACCATCACACTGCAAATTCATGGGTTGTACCCCTGGGTCTTTTTATTCATTCACAGGATGAGGGCATTGCTGGCTAAGCTAGCATTTATTGCCCATCCTAATTGAGTCACCATATTGCTGTGCGTCTGGAGTCACACGTAGACCAGACCAGGTAAGGATGGCAGTTTCATTCTCTAAGGGACATTTGTGAACCAGATGGGTTTTTCCCCCAACAATTGGCCATAGATTCCTGGTCATCATTAGATTCTAAATTCCAGATATTTTATTGAACTGAATTCAAATTCCACCATCTGCTGAGGCGGGATTCAAACCTGGCTCCCCAGAGTATTATCTGGGTCTCTGGATCAACAGTCTAGCGATAATACCACTAGGCCATTGCCTCCCCTCTTTTCTCAGCAGCGATCCAGGCAGGTGAGCTGTGAGAATCTTTGAGACTTTATTTGGCAGAACAAAATCCTAAACTCTTTCTTTCCCTCACCAACAACAAGAATTAATAATGTGACAGACAACCATCTTTGACTATTTCACCAAATGATGCACGAAAAAAGTTTTCACGATATGCAAGTTCAACAGTAAACTTATTCATTTTTATTTTAGGACACAAATATTACCACAAGGCATTAGCAGAGTTCCCCTTTGGAGCTCTTCGCACATTAAGACAGAATAAGATTTAGATAGAGCCTTGTAATTTGATCACTGTTATACGTTGCAGATAAAACTTGTAGTAAAGACGGAAATTGCACTCAGTATCAACTCTCAATTGACATTACTAATTATGGTCACAGTGTAAAATCTCTGGACATATTGATTGATTTTGATTGATTGATTTTATTGTCACGTATACTGAAATATACTTAAAAGCTTTGTTTATAAGCAGTACAGGCAGATCACAGCAAGCAAAGGGTGTATAGATCAAAAAGACTTAGAGGCATACAGGTTATATTGCAGGCTAGAGTCCATTCAACAGTCTCATAATTGCCAGAAAGAAGCTGTTCCTGAACCTGCTGGTGCGTGGGAGCAGGATTCTGTACCTTCTGCCTGATGGAAGAGGTTGTAGGAGATCATTACTGGGGTGTGATGGGTCTGTGATGATATTGGCCGTCTTTCCGCAGCAGCGAGCCGTGCAACTGGAGTCCATGGATGGAGTGTTGGCTTTTGTGATGGTCTGGGCTGTGCACACCCCCTTCTGTAGTTTCTTACAGTCCTGGGCAGAGCAGTTGCCATATCAGGCCGTTATACACCCGGACAGTATGCTTTCAATGGTGTATCTGTAGAAGTTGATGAGGGACCTTATGGACATGTCAAATTTCCTGAACCGCTTGAGGAAGAAGAGTCGTGTTGTGCCTTCTTGCCTGTCTCATCTACGTGGGAAGTCCAGGACAGGTCAATGGTTATCATCACTCCGAGGAACTTGATGCTTTCCACCCTCTCAACCTCAGTTCCGTTGATATAGATGGCGGCGTGTTCTCCTCCTTTCTTTCTGAAGTCAATGATCAGTTTTTTAGTTTTGCCAATGTTGAGAGACAGATTGTTTTATCAGGCCATCTATCTCCCTTCTGTATTTTGACTCATTGTTGTTAGATATCTGTCCCACTATGGTGTGTTGTCAGCAAACTTGTGAGTGGCGTTCATTCAGAATTTGGCAACACAGTTGTAGGTGTACAGGGAGTACAATTGGGGGCTGAGGACACATCCTTGCGGGGGGCTCCAGTGTTGAGTGTTATTGTGGAGGAGGTGCAGTTACCTATCCTCACTGATTGCAGATTATGGGTCAGAAAACTGAGGATCCAGCTGCAGGGGGCGGAGCTGAGACCAAGGCCACAAGAGTTTTGAGATCAGTCTGGAGGGGATAATGGTATTGAAGGAAGAGCTGTAGTCAACGAACAGGAGTCTGATGTAGGTGTCTTTGTTGTTCCAGGGATGAGTGCAGGGCTAGGGATATGGCATCCTCTTTGAATCTGTTATGTTGGTAGGGAAACTGTAGGGGATTGTAGACAGAGTGCATGTATCAGTTAATGTGGGGGAAGGAATACAAAACAAAGGACCATTAATGCAAGATAGTAAGGAAGGGGGGAAAAACATCAGCAAAGTCCCAAAATAGAAATCAGAAAATGCAGCAAATAAAGAAAAAAGTTCACATTTTGGATTGTGAAGGATCGTCACTTTTGATATCTCTCCTCGTCTTCAATAGGGTATCCACCAAAACAACTTTCACAACTACATTTCCCACCTCAGCAACCATCTCTGGCTCTGACTTATTCCACATAGATTCAAATTGAAGTTCCACCCAGCGTGTTTCAGATCCACCTAGGGTTACAGCTTTCTCCTAGATGTTTAAACTCTGAATCAGCTGTTCCTGATGAGTCCATACTGAGTCTTCATTGAAAAATCCAGTCAGTGCCATTTTCATGCTGCATCCCCATAATTCTGAAAATTTATTTTCTTCCAAGTACCAATCCAATTTTCTTGTGAAATCATTGATCATCTCTCTTTCTTCATCAGCAAAGAGTTCCAGGTCATTCCCAGTTAGAGCATGAAGTTCATCCTTGGGACTCCACTGCTGCACCTCTTAATAGTAGGAAGTATTTTTAAAATTGTTGATGGGATGTTAGTGTTCCTGGCTCGGCCGACGTTTATTGCCCATCCCTACTTGCCTTGAGGGAAGTCAAGAGTCAACTCCGTTGCTGTGGGTCTGGAGTCACATGTAGGCCAGACCAAGTACGGATGGCAGATTTCCTTCTGGAATGTACATAGGTGAACCCGATTACTATTTTACAATAAGTAACAGAGGTTATGTTAGCTTTCGTTCTTGGTTCCAAATTTTTAATGATTTCAGATTTCAGCATCTTAACATGATGGGATTCAAACCCATTACCCCAGAACATAAACCTGGCACTCAGCATCACTATTCCAGCGATATTACCCCTGCTCTGACTGCCTGTCCTGCAATGCAGAAATCCCATTTTATTCCCAGTTTCACCTTTTACATTCCCACTGTAGCTGCTCACTCAATTTGGGACTTGTCTGGAATGTGTGACCGAGCTTTCTAAGACATTTTGGCATCGGTGTGTATAACCCATGAGAATATTGACAAAATAGTGTCTCTATCTCTATCCGGCTGCTGGATAATGGAGGGAGGAATTGAATGGTGCAAGGAGTCTAAAAGAAGGGGAAGTAACCTTAATGTTTGAGCCAAGCCTTTCGGGGTGATGTCAAAAGATACTTCTTCACAAAATAGCAGGGAGAGAAATCTGGGACTCTCTGTCTCCTTTCCACCCCTCCACAATGCTGCTGAAACTGAGGTTCAATTCAGAATTAAAAAACCAAGACTCATAGAGTTTCACAAAAAAAGCAAATTACTGCAGATCGTGACAGTAGTCGGTAGCTCAGGAAAAATGTATGCCTAAAATTTCAGGTGAAGATGAAAGGTCATCTCAACCTGAATATATTTCATTTGGTACAATTACAACATTTAAAAGGCACTTCATGGGTATATGAATAGGAGAGGTTTCGAGGGATATGGGCCAAATGCTGGCAAATGGGACTAGGTAGATTTGGGATATCTGGTTGGCATGGACAATTTGGACCAAAGAGTGTGTTTCCATGCTGAACATCTCTATGACTATAACATACACATCAACCATGATCCAAATGAATGAATGGCAAAGCAGGCTCAAAGGGGTTGAATGCAACAGAAAACTAAGACAAGAATTCTGGGAGATTAAAAAAGCAGCTTGGTTCTGTAATGTGTGGGCAGGCAAAATACAATGTTATAAACTTTAGTACAAATGAAGCTACTAGTCGCTATCTTGGAACAAAAAAAAACTATAGCCTCATAATTATCCACGCTTAAAATAACTTTTATTTGATGTATGTTGAGAGAAGGTTATGTTAAATATATTTTTATATAATATATATTACAATCAGCATTCCAAATTTACAACACAAACTGATTTCAGCATGGCAGGAGAAGAAACACAGAGCCAGGTTCTGTGGACTTTAGATGTTCACAACTTTTTAGGAAGCTGTACCAACCCATCTGTCAGTGGAATTTATCTTCTGAATTCAAGTACCTATGACAGTATTGTTTTAATGTTTCGGGTGTAAATTTATATGTCAATGCCAAATCATTGGATATCAGATACGCTACTTTGATATCAGGTGTGGGAAGAAAAGTTGAACAGAGTCCAACTGGAAATAAACTTGTTATTATAACACCACAACAGTCAGCTTCATGTTTCTTCACCCCAGTGGAAATCTCTAGGTGAGTTTTTCCGTTCTATCCACATCTTTGCCAGTCTCCCACAACAGTCATCATAGTATTCAGTCTTCACAATGGGATTTCTTTAAATCTGTATGTACATTGTCATTTATATTTTTAAGCAGCACAAACAAATGCTGCTCAAGAAATACAGCACAACTATAGAATATTCACAAAAGTCTATGTACTGCCACACATGCAACAGTGGACATTCATCCCAAAAACGTTTCACATAATCCTTAATATAAGGAGTATGTCAATCTATCGCTGTACTGTTTCCCTTATTCAGTTAACAGGAACTGACAAAAATGCTGATGAATACATTTTGCCAAAACAATTTGTTAGAGCAAAATAATGGGGAATGTTTCTAAAATTTCAAGACCTCATGTTCAAGGAATGTGTTGAAATGCACCTCACCATTAACAAACTATGGAATCATTCTGAAATAGCTACTTATCTTAAAGTACAAAATTGTCAATAACAGACACTAGCAGGGAAGACTCTTCAACTATGCACAAGCATCTAAAGGACTGGGATCACGGCTCGGTCCAAGTGTGTGGAGTTGTAACTTGTGCCAATTAAACCACAGTGAACATCAACACAGACAAGACTGCTCTGAAGCTAGAGGTTGAGAGCATGTAGTCCTTAAACCTGGATACAACTGATATTAATTGTATTAGGTTAGATCATGTGCTTTTTTAAAAAGCTAATCTAGAATACACTGTATTGTATAGAATAAAGTGAAGGGATGTGAAACACACACACACACCGGTCACTGTAGAGAGCTTTGTCTTCAACAAATCAATCAGAAGTCTGTGCTGTGTTCAGTAGGGTGGCAGCTGAAGATTCTCAACGTAAGACTCGGTTACAAGACTGAGATTTATTGTTTATTTTAAAATGTCAATAGATCAAAATGTCTCCCTGTACAATAAAACGTTTACATTAAAGGCAAAAGCCTGGCTGACTGCCTCAGCCTCCTCGATACAGTTCATTGAGTCTTGCCAGTTTTTCACAGCTTTCCATCCGCATGAGTTCAGCTTTCTTCCGTAGTCGGTCATCTCGATATACCTTGGACGCATAAAGGTAGTCATTTCCTTTCAAGGATAGAGAGAATAGCATAATTAATTAATAGTATCTGGTGTAATGGATATTAAGAAATTACAAGTCACAGGGGTATAGGGTTGCCCAACAGGGCAAGCTAGCATCACACTGACTAATTGCATTGAATGTGCAGCACAGAGGATGCATCTTCAATCCAGTTATAATTCTCTGCTAGAGTGTATGCTTCACACATGCCTCCTCCTGACCATTTCCATTTAATCCCATCAACAACAAAGGGAAGACAATGAAATTGCAATACTGACACTGGATTAGTAATCCAGAGGCTAATAATTTGGGGATATGGAGTGGCATGGTGGTTCAGTGGTTAGCACTGCTGCCACACAAAACCAGAGACCCAGGTTTAATTCCACCCCTGGGCGACTGTCTGTGTGGAGTTTGCACATTCTCCCCGTGTCTGCGTAGGTTTCATCCAGGTGCTCCAGTTTCCTCCCACAGTTCAAAGGATGTGCAGGTTAGGTGGATAAACCATGCTAAATTACCCATAGTGATTAGTGATGTGCAGCTTAGGTGTGTTAACCATGGGAAATGCAGGGTTACAGGGATAGGGATGGGGATGGGTCTGGGTGGGATGCTCTTTGGAGGGTCAGTGTGAACTTGTTGGGCCCAATGGCCTGTTAATAAACACTGGGGATTCTATGGAAATCCCATCACAGCAGCTGCTGGAAACTAAACTAAATTAATAGATCTGGAATAAGTCTCAGGTGATGGTGACCACAAAACCATTGTCAATTGTCATTTTTAATAAAATCCATCTGATTCACTAATGCCCTTTCGGGAAGGAAATCTACCTCCAGATCCAAATCAATGAGGTCGGCTCTTAACTACCCTCAGTGCAATTAGGGATGGGCAAAAACTGCTGTCCTTTCCAGTAACAACCACATCCAATGAATGAGTAAAAAAAAATCTCAACAGCAGAAGTGAAAAAATTTCCAAACAGTGGAAAAACTATCCATTAAGGTTGCTTAACCAAAGGGACCTCATAACAAAAAGCTGTACAATGTGGTTTCCGAAGGAAGGTCCATTGAACAATCGCTTAGAAAGGGTGAAAATCATAAGCATAAGTTTAAACAACTCACTCTCTTGTCTTTCCTTCCAGCAGTTATTTCGAAGGTTGTTTACATAATCATCTTCAACACTCTTTTCTACCTTTTGTAATGCCACACCTGTGTATTCTTTGTCAAAGTCTTTGTTGACATAATAAACTACTTTCAAATTACTGGTTTGCTTCCTAATGGTGTGTTCCAGGGTGCTGCAAAACACAGAAATACCCATTGGTCAACTTAAACATATTTAACTCTGCTTTCTCTCCACAGATGCTGCCAATCCTCCCGAGTTTCTTCGGCAATTTCTGTTTCTGTTAAACACACTTCAGTTGAGTGACGCAACATTTTTCCAACATCCACATTCAGTGTCCATTTGCAAAAGAGAAACTTGCATTTTGGTTGGCATGGATGCATTGGAACAAAGCGTCAGTTTCTGACTCTACAATTGTATTTATACAGTGCCATTCATTACCCATGGCTATCCAAAGGACATCACAGCCAGCAGTGAAGATCATTGCAATGTATGAAACGCAGCAGCCCAATACAATAATAAGATGGTGATAGATAATTTTTTTGATTTTTAGGAAGTGAGTTCAGTTGAGGGATAAGTATTGAGTAGGATACGGGGTGGGGGGGGAGCTCAGTTCTTCAAAATTTAATGCTTTTAAAACAAAAACTGAACAATCAAATAACGTGAAATAAAGAACTTTCAAATAGGCTTTCAGACAAATCAGGAAGAAAAGCATTTTTCTTTAAAGAAAACTTGAGAGAAACGTAGAAATCTAACATTTAGCTCCTGCAATTGGAAAGCTGAAAGTAAGGAGTAATCTACTCAGTGTCCTGAGCCCCACACAAGACGTGTGTCGGGCGTAGCTCACTGGATGATGTTTATAATCAAGTCAGAAGTTTGTGGACTCAAGTCCCACTTTGTTACGGTAAGTGCACACACAATGCAGATTGACACTCCCAGTGAGATACTGGGATACTGCTCCACTACCACATGTGCCATCATTCAGAGGAAACATTAAACCGACGCCCTCTCCGGGCCCCTCAGATGGATCTAAAAACTGTTCTTGTCAATATTTATCCCTTAACCTACAGCAATAAACCTGATCATCATAACTTTGCTGCTTGTGGATTTGCCATGTTTCCTCCATTAAAGCAGTGGCGAGACTTCAAATCTAATTCATCGATGTAAAGTGGTTTGGGGATGATCTGAAATTATACAAGGTGCTATCTCAATGCAGGGGTTTTTATTTTACAAAGTAAACAAAGTATCATGGCTTGTTACCAATTTGAGTTGTTTCTCAAAAATTTAACAGGGTGTCAGACAATGGATTAAGCCCCAGATGCAAAATTCCCTCAGACACTCCCTCAAGCTTTACAAGCAGCCAAAGATACTTGCAATATTTTGTTATGAGTGAATAAAAGCTCATATTAATGTAGCAGTAACTAGCTGCTTTTATACCCTGACTGTCTAGAACATTTTGTCAAGGATGGTACCAGAGAAGACACTGGAGCATCTTTGCTACAGTGACTTTATTCAATCAAGTTGCTGTTCAGCTTTCAGCTAACAAGAAACAAACCCACATGCTCATTCCAAGTCAAATTTGGGGCAGGAAGCTGACTTTGTTTCTAAAATCAACCCACAAGACAAACGAAGAAATTCAAGAACATATTGGTTACAGTCAGCAGTACTTACGCTCTGTAGTAGAGACTGTATGGTGGAGTAGATACCATCAATTGACTCAAAACTGACACCAGGATCAAGACAATAATAGGTAACAGCTGTAAAAACATTGAAAATCCTCCCTGTAAGATATAGGAGAGTAAAATCAAGATGTATTCAATTGCTCTGTCACCAAGGCTCAATAGCGTCCTTAAATATTTGCAGGTTCAAAGTTAGACTGGACACCAAGCCATGATCCCATTTAGTAGGCAGGCTTGCAATGTGCTTCACTGCTGCTTGCTACAAGTAACATTTAAACAAGAGCTTGTTCTCTGCAGGCAAAAGAAACAACGGAAAGTGGTTTATAAAATCATGAGGGGCATGGATAGGGTGAATAGCCAAAGGCTTTTCCCCAGGGTAGAGTAGTCCAAAACTAGAGGGATAGGTTTAAGGTGAGAGGGGCAAGATTTAAAAGGGACATAAGGGGCAACTTTTTCATGCAGAGGGTGGTATATGTATGGAATGAGCTGCCAGAGGAAGTGGTGGAAGCTGGTAAAATGACAACATTTAAAAGGCATCTGGATGGGTAGACGAAAAGGAAAGGTTTAGAGGGATATGGGCCAAATGCTGACAAATGGGACTAGATTAATTTAGAATATCTGGTCGGCATGGACAAGTTGGACCGAAGGGTCTATTTCTGTGCTGTACGTCCCTATATCTCTATGTCTAGGCATTGCTAAATTTTTTAAAAAATGCCCAAAGTGAGGGGGACAATTGTCACCTGGTACATTCTCCATGGCAATGTTCCAACTGGATCTGGCTTGCCAACCAATCAGCACCCTTTTACTATTATCGTACAAATTGTTGCTCCCTCTGAAATGTGGCATTTTGTGACTGTCCTGTCACGCACAAGATGAAAAGCTCAGACATCACAGTTCATTCTCCCCCCATTTAAAAAAAAACTCTCTATTCAGGTATTGGCACCTTTCCAAATAATGCAGCCACCCCACCCGCCCTAACCCATGCAGTAGAAGCTGAAATACCTTCCCGAGTTAACACACACTCCATTCCCAGGTCTGCAGAGCACGAAACTGACTGGAACTCTTTGCTGTACTTGATACAGATTGCTCAAATGATGAGGTGGTGTTCAATCGCTTAGATGTATAGAAGATAATCCCACGCATGGGACAAGACCAAAATGAGAAGCCATAAACTTAAGACAGGCACAAACAAATCCTTCGGGAATTCGGAAGATCCCAGAAAGTGGTGAGAATGTGAAACCCACAGGACTGATTGAGGTGAATAGTCTTGATAGGCTGATTTAAACAGCAATTATTTTGGGTGGTAAAAGAACATCCATTTTCCCTTGTGTGAAGGTGGGTTTCCTGACAAGATCTTGAAGCATCAACACTAATTTTAAGGTTCTGCCCTTTCTTTTCTTGGGCTGCCACAACCTCCCCTCCCCACACCATCAGGGGAAACAGTTTCTCTCCATCAATAAAACTGAAAAACAGTTCAGATCACTCCCTTCATGCTGTACTTCACTGAACATAAAGGAGCTAATTTTCTCAGGATTTAAGACTGAAACTAACAACATTGCTGCAAAGATTTTAGCAAACGTTTGGTTGATAAGGTTTTGCTGGTGGGTTTATTACAGGAGCTTGAAGGATGTTGATAAAATGTAAGCTAGGAATTAATCCTCCAATCAGTGAGTGTAACTTTCAATGTTCCTAGCTGAAGGGTTCAGGAGAATGGACAGTTGCTAAAATGCAGCATTTATGTCTGTGCCCAGAACAACAAAAGGAAGCAGAATCTTTGAAAAGGGAAGGAAATATCTGAAAATAAAGGGGAAAAAAAGACGATTGGTCAAAGAAATGAATTAACTGGATGTAAACAAGTTCCTCTTGAATAAGTGTAAGAACATAATGGAAACGGGAAATGGTGAATTTGTTCTTTGAACCTGTCCCACCATTCAATGAGACTAGGGCTGACTATCCTCCATTTCCTGCAAATCTTGCTGATTAAAATTCTGTCTCTTCAAAAAAAATTCCCCAGTGCCTCAGCCAAAACTTACCCCTCAAATAATATCACAAATAATAACACCGTGAGCTGGGCATTGCTGTTTGACAGAACTTGCTCTGCCCAGATTCTTTGGTGGGTTTCCAAATTACATCATGACAGTAGTTCAAAACACTTCATTGGCTGTAAAAGGTAAAAGGTTTCCCAGACTAATACTGGGAATTGGCAGGTTAGACAGGTTAGGCTTGTATCCACTGGAGTTTAGAACAGTGAGAGGTGACTTGATTGAAACATACAAGATTCTAAGGGGTCCTCACTGGGTAGATGTGGAAAGGATCATTTCTCTTGCGGGAGAATCTAGAAGTAGACAACACTACAACACAATGTGGAAAATGGCTCAGGTATGCCTTGTACACAAAAAGTAGGGCAAATCCAACCAGCCTATTGCTGCCCCATCAGTCTACATTCAATCATCAGTAAAATGAAGAAAGGTGTTTTCAACAGTGCTTGCTTAGCAATAGCCTACTCAGAGGCACTTAGTCTGGGTTCCACAGGACCACTCAGCTCCTGACTTCATTACAGCCTTGGTTCAAACATGGACAGCACAGCTGAATTCCAGAGGTGAGAATGACAGCCCTTAATATCAAGGCTGTGTCTGACCAATTGTGCCATCAAGGTACCTTTGCAAAACTAGAGATAGTGGGAATCAGGGAAGGGCTCCCACTGGATGAAACTATATCTGGCACAAAAGGAAGATGACTGTTGGAGGTCAGTCATCTCAGCTCTAGGACATCAGTTTGCCCATGATCTCGACGAATGGTTGAGCAGACTTGATGTGCCGAATGCCTACTTCTGCTCTGACATCTTCTGGTCTCGGAGTCACTCAATTTAATAGAGATGAGGGCAAGAGGCTTTGGAACACTCTTCCTCATAAAGCATTGTCCTCGAGTCCTTGAATATTTTTAAGGCCGTGGTGGTTAGATTTGTGATAAGCACGAGGCTGAAAGGTTTTCAGGGCTGCTGAGATTGTGGGGTAATTAGATCTTATTGATTGGCCTAAACCCACTCCTGATTCATATGTTTGTATGTAAAATGTTTGGAGAAGTGCGGATGTCCTGTACAAACACAAGTATTTCTTCTGTTCATAGCTTTCTCTCCCAAATAAAAATCAACCCATGGATTTTAACATAAAATACAAATTTTGAAAGTCTCATGTTTGCCCATGGTCTATTGGGAAGCTGATCAAATCTGAATAAAGCTGAAATCACCATAGTCGTACCAGACCATAGGGCTGCTCTCTCATTAGAGAGATACAACAGGTGTTGGTTTAACCTGAGGGTCACCACACCTAACATGAGGGGAGAGATTGAGAAGGTGAGACCCAATTGAACCCATACTGTTGGTGTCAGGCTACATTGCAAACCAGCCATCCAGCCAACTGAGCTAACCGACCCCCCCCCCAACCCCAACACACGGAAATACGTACATCGGCTCTCTCGTCCTCTCTGTCTGCTCTGTGGTGTGATTGATGAGATCCTCGAGCTCTTCCATTATTGTACACCTGTGTGTGTCCTAAAAGGATAAATAATAAGAGAATGAGCAGTTCCATTAACACTGAAAACATCTAACAGTCTGGAGATTGAGACATATTTTCTTGCTTATTCTGCAAAAATAAAACTGCATTAGAAATAATCCCAATACAGCATGGAAACCAATGCAAATCTATTTGAAAAAATAATCGATTTTATAAGCTATTCACATGGCAAAGCAAAACAAATTCAATATATTTTCCTAATGCAGTAAGAATTACATTCTGCATTTAAAGCGCCTTCTGAACTCAATGGGTTCTATTGTCCCAGATTCTAGCCTGTGTTTCTCTGCTTGTCCCATTTCCCTCTCCTTTCACCATCATCTCTTTGATCATCTAATCTCTCCTGTCTTCGACCCTATCACAGGCCCTCCCTTCTGTCCTTCCCTCTCCTCCCCCCTTTCCCTGTCTCTGTACCTGCTCAAAATGAGCCCCTTCTCCAACTTACTCCAGTTCTTGTGAGAGGTCAGTGAGCTCAGTTTGAATGTCCATGGATTCTGCCTGACCTTGCTGCGTACTTCCAGCATTTCCTGGTTTTATTTAGACTATGAGATTTACCTCAACATCATACTTCTGGCGAGTTATTTCCATTTGATTTCTGCTGATAGTGAAAAGGATTACATGATTTTAAACTTGTTCATAGCTACTTGTTTTAAAATGGCTCAAAAATCACTTCAGCCAAAGTTGGAATGGGCTTTTTCAAATTATATATAAACCAGGACTCTGACACCTAGCTCCCAGAGTCTATTCCAACTCTGTTCCAGACACAAGCCGTTAATGTTGAGAGATAGTAAGGAGTCCAGACCCAAAACGTCAGCTTTCCTGCTCCTCTGATGCTGCTTGGCCTGCTGTGTTCATCCAGCTCTACATCTTGTTATCTCAGCCATTAATGTTGCTTTGGTTTTACCCTTGGCCCTTATGCTAATCTTATCAGTGCAGGAAGTTAGGTGTTAGCTTCAGATGTCAATTGATTATTGTTCCTGATTACATACTAACCACCCCCACTCCCTCCTAGTGAAAACTCTAGGCCCAAGTGTTCATTAAAACAAAAGGTGAGATTGTTTACCTTCCCAGGAGAATGTTGGACAGTGGAGTGTTTACAGGGGAGTTACAACATGGAAACTCATCTTCAGTATTTGTGTCAGAGTTAATCCTCTAGATGAGCAGGCACCTGAGCCCCTTGGGTCCACATTTATAAATGACAACAAGAACAGGCAGTTTGGACTGCAAAGTCTCTACAGCACAGAAACAGGCCATTCAGCTCAAAAAAAGTTTTGCTTTACATGTCACCCCCTCTTCGTCTCACCGTATCATCACCTTCTATTCTTTTCACCGTCATGTTTCCAGTCTCCCCTTAAATGTCTCAATAACAGTTGCCACAAACATTCCCTGTGGGAGCGAGTTCCACATCCACACTACTCTCTGGATAAAGAGGATTCTCCTGAATTCCCAATTAGATTTATTACAGACAATCTTGTATTGAAAGCTCCTTATCCTAAACTCTCCCACAAGTGGAATCACCATCATTATTTCAAACCCATGAAACCCTTTCATAACTTTAGTGATATCCATCAAGTCACCTCTAATGCAACCTTCTTTTCCAGAGCAAATTGGCACAGCCTGTTCAATCCTTTATGACGGTTATAATCACTCATTTCTGGCCCCCTTTGAGGAACTTCTGTTTTTGCATCTTCTCCACAGTGCTTCTCCTTCTTCCTGTTCTATACCCACATTCTCTCTGAGTGGAGAGGAACATTATCCGCCTCCTTCCCAAAAAAAACTCCTCTGGAATCTGACTCAGCCCTTTCTCCACCTGTGAACCTTGACCTTGAGTGTCAGCAGACTAATGACCACCAAACTTCCACAATCTGGAGTCTCTGGGAATTACGGATCCAGGAACAGCTACAGGCAAAAACTAGAGAGAAGGATAATCACAGGGGTGTTAAAAAGAAAATGCTCCCATCTATTTCTGGAACAAGTTTGTTTATTATTTAGTTGTAAAAATTGACGTTGGTGGACAATCATCCAATTGGGTAGTGACATGCCCCACTTGTGTCCTGATTGGGTGGCGAGGTGGGGAACTGCGACCATAGATGTGTGCACGCAGCCAATGGTAGGAGCTTAGGGGCAGGCAGCTAGGAGGTAGGAGGTCATGTGATGAACCAACCTCCATTCAGTGACAATCAGGAGGAAAACCTGGGCTAATTTGTCTCTCATTAAATTAGGAACAGGAGAAGGCCATTCAGCCCTTTGAGCCTGTTCCTTCATTCAATGAGATCATGGTTGCTCTCCAACTTAACTCCACAGAACAGCCTTTGCCCCAGATATCCTGATATCTTTAGCAGACAACAATCGATGAACCTTGGACCTAATAGCACTTGTGAAAGAGTGAGTTCGAAACTTCTATCAACTTTTGGGTGTAGAATTGATTCTCAACTTCACTCCTGAAAGGTCTGGCTGTAATTGTTTGGTCTTTAGGTCATAACTCCCCATCAAGCAGAAATGATTTAACTCTATCTACCCTACCAGTTCTCGAAAAGTTTAATTACTGCCCACATAGAAAAGAAACCAGGCATTCTCCCCAAGTGGTCCATGTTTTCTGCTCCACATGGGTCTTTTGCCAGTGATCGGACACTCCAAGGACAACACTATCAACCTACAACACCACCCTAACCGAAAACACATGAGTCGATGCATTCAATCAGTCAACGCAACTGCCATATGACCAATTTGCATCCACCCCCATCATTCACTTGAGCAACCAAAGGGGAACTGCCTCACTAATCCAATCTCAGAAGGAACATTGTTACAAGAGTATTTTTATAGGAGTTTTCAAATCAGACTGCAACACTCAGAAATAACAACATCTGTTCACACTTTACTACTTAGACATCAAATTCTTCATCCATTTAACAAATATTTGGAGACAATTAAATTCCTACTTCTGTTGTTTGGACTATTAAAGAGTGTCAGAAAATGGTTTTCACAATATTGTGAACATATTTCATTGTTAATTTTTTTTTGAAGATTGATGCTTAAATGATTGTGGACAGTGATTCATTTTGGAGTTTTTCTCATTCTTGCCTAAGAAATGGGTGTCAATTAGGGATGCCCATCCCTCATTGCCCTTGAATTTATCACCTCTTTAGGCCAAATCAGAGGGCAGTTAAGAACCAAACACGTTGCTATGGGTCTGGAGTCACATGTAGGCCAGACCAGGTAAGGGTGTGAATCAGCTGAGCTTTTACAACAATTGACATTGGTTGCTTGGTCGCCATGAGGCTAGCTTTCAATTGTATGCTTTTCACTATTAAATTCACATTCCACCATCTGCCAAGATAGGATTCAAACCTTCATCCCCACAGCAGGAGCCTGGTCTCAGGATTAGCAGGTCAGCGACATTACCACTTAACCACCATCCCTCCACAGTGCTGAAGAGACACTTTAAGAAGGTCATAGAAAGGACAACAGGGCACTTTTAATCTAAAACCACTTATTGGAAATCATATGGTTTAAGCAAAAGTGAGGGCACAGTGACTAACTTTGCTGGAAGTCATGTGTCTTCAGTGAACTGCTGGATTTACTGCAAGTGGCTTGACTACAGAATTCATGGCTGTCAAGAGCTGTGGTTATTTTGATACTGTTTGCCAATTTAGTTGGGGTACAGCCTTCTGAGAAAGAAAGAAGTTCATCCTCTGCCCTTCTGACAAAATCATAGAGTCATACAGCATGGAAACAGACCTTTTGGTCCAACCAATCCATGCCGACCATAATCCCAAACTAAACTAGTCCCACCTGCCTGCATTTGGCCCATTTCCCTCCAAACTGTCACTATTCATGCACTTATCCAAATGTCTCTTAAACGTTGTAACTGTACCTGCATCCACCACTTCGTCTGGGAGTTCATTCCACACACGAACCACTCTCTGTATGAGCAAGTTGCCCTTCATGTCTTTTTTAAATCTCTCTCCTTAAGATATGCTGCCTGGTCTTGAAATCCTCCCATCTTAGGGAAAAGACACCTGCCATTCACCTTATCTATACCCGTTGTGATTTTATAAACCTCAATAAGATCACCCGTCAACCTCCTACGCTCCAGTGAAACAAGTCCCAGTCTATCCAGCCTCTCCTTTTAACTCAAACCTTCCATTCTCAGCAATGTCCTAATAAATCTTTTCTGAACCCTCTCCATTTTGATAATATCTTTCCTGTAACAGGGCGACCAGAACTGCACCCAGTACTCCAGAAGAGGCCTCACCATTGTCCTGTACAACCTCAACATGACGTCCCAACTCCTATACTCAAAAGGTCTGAGCGATGAAGGCAAGTGTGCTAAACGCCTTCTTAACCGTCCTATCTATATGTGATGCAATTGATAGAATGATCTAATTGTTCTCCTGAAAAGCTTCTGCAAGAGCTCTTCTCAACATTTCCTAGACAAATAGCATCTGGACAGGTCACTATAACACGTGCCTGTGTTTAACGACATCTGCGTGGACCAGGGAACTGACAAAAAGCCTTCTTGAACATTTCATACCTCCTCCTTTTCCTTCAAAGGACTAACAATTATTGGCCAAAGTGTTTTCCCCTTCAAAATTAATCGCAGCAGATTTTTAAAAAAACTGTGCGTGGGATTATTTAGAAGGGTAAATATTTATACGTTCAGACTCCAAACTGGTTGTTAATCTGGTATGCAACTTTGTTGAATATTTTTGTTTTATCATTAATTAATAACTCTGTTGTTTATTAAAGAAACCGGGTTGCTAGATCTTTTTATCCTACACCTAAATATAGATGAAGTACACAATTGTCCATATCGGTGACGAGGCAAACCTTTAAAATTTTATGTTTCAACCAGTAGTTTGAGGCTAGTTATAACAACTAGTGTCAACAGTCCCTCGTTTAGCTTCCACTTATGAATAAAAGACAAAGAGAGCTAACATCCATCTGGTTTTGTTACGGATGGTCAATTTGAGTTGTACCTGCAGGGAATCCTCCTCCAAAGAACATGTTAAACAGATCCTCGGGAGTGATGTCCGATTCATAATTCCGGTGAAATTCGAAGCCTCCATTTTGATAGTTACCAGGGGATTGACCATCACCGTATTGATCATAGTCCCTTCGTTTCGCTGGGTTACTGAGTACAGCATAGGCATTTCCAATCGCTAAAGATTTCAAAGAACAAAGAATATGAGGAACAAAAGAACGAGAACATATCTGTTCTCTCAAGTGGGCACCAAAACCCCCCACGTCACTGCTTCAAAGAGCAGAGGACCTGAGCTAGTGTTTTGGCCGCCATTTTAAAAAGTCCAGAATAACAGGTGAACAGAAAGGTCACCCTGATCATTATTTTCCCAATGCAGCCTGTGGGATCTTGCTGTGTGCAAATTGTTGTTATCTAGGAGACACATCAGCCTTGATTACACTTGAAAGCATTTCATTGGCAGTGCGGAATCTACCAGTGTCGTAAAAGGTGCTATTGAAATGCAAGTTCCTTCCTGAATGTCTTTCTAAAATAAAAGCAATGTTAGTTTATTAAACTTTAGTCTGATCATTTCTCATGTGCATTCCCATCAATCAGCCTTGTAGACTTTATGCATGGTGTGGTAGTCTAAGAAATGCTCAAAACCCCTCAACAATATCTCTGAGTGGGAAACATCAAAAACATTATTTAAGAAGCTTTAAAAAGCATGGACAGCGCTGTAGCAAGGTGTGGTTACGCAGCTTTAGAAGATGGCATTAATGTAGCTTCAGTGAGAAATTCTGCATCATGGAATCTTGGGCTCTTTTTAATTCATTCACAGGATGAGGGCATCGCTCGCTAAGCAGCATTTATTGCCCATCCCTAACTGCCCAGAGGGCAGTTAAGAGCCAACCACATTGCTGTGGGTCTGGAGTCACATGTAGGCCAGACCAGGTAAGGATGGCAGTTTCCTTCCCTAAAGGTCATCAGTGAACCAGATGGGTTTTCCTGAGAGTCGACAATGGATTCGAGGTCATCATTAGATTCTTAATTCCAGATATTTATTGTTGAATTCAAATTCCACCATCTGCCATGGCAGGATTCGAACCAGGTCTCCAGAACATTCCCTGGGTCTCTGGATTAACAGTCCAGTGATATTACCAATAGGCCATCGCCTCCCCCTTGGTAAAGGATTGGATGTGGACAAGGAAGTTTTGGTTGAAAAGATCCAAACAAAAATGGGATTTGGGGAATGTACAACAATGACATGGAATCAAAGCAAAGAACATTAGATTTGCTCCCATATACAGCATAGAAAGAGGTCATTCAGCCAAATCATGCCTGTGCTGGCTTTTCAAAAGAGCTTCTCAGTTTGTTCCATTTTCTCTACATTGAGAGCAGGGGGCCAGGTTAGGACCTTAAAATTTGAGCCAGGATGTTCAGGACTGATGCCAGGACACATTTCTTCACATTCAGGAGAAAGGAAATCTCGATATCTCTTCCCCCATTAAAAAAAAGGTTGTTCCAGCTAGGGGGTCCACTGGACTGATGGTTCTGTAAGCCCAATTACTCTTGCATAACTAAACTCTATTTCCCCCACTGTAGACCGAAGATGCAGATCAGCCATCATCTAACTGATTGGCAGAACAGTTCTGAGGGGCTGAATGGCCTCCTCCTGGTCCTACATATACAGAGGTTAAGCATGTGAGAAGGAAACATTGTTGGCATCAAAGTAGAATCTGGTCTGTGTCTCCACTTTAGTCTGGAGCAGCGAATAATTAACATCAGAGAGTGTGTTAAACAACAGAGAACACAACACTTTGCCCCAAGGAGTTGCTGAGGTCCTGAGCAAAGTAAAAGTGAATCAGGGGAAGAAACAGACTGATAGAGACAAAAGAAAAAAGACTGGCCAGTGGAATCCAAAACCATCACAATGTACGCTTGTATCCTTCCTGACCTCCCATTTAACATCGAGATGAGCAGGAATTACTTCTCTCAGGGGTTGTTTGTGTTTGGAATTCTCTCCTCGAGACAGCAGGGGAGAGGTAAATTGTAAACAGAAACCCTAAACTCACCTTTAAACGCCTCCGTTGCTCCAGGAGCGTGGTTTTTATCTGGATGGAACTTCAGCGCCAATTTCCTGTAAGCTTTCTTTAGATCCTCTTCAGATGCATCTTTACTGACCCCGAGAATCTCGTAGTAATCTTTACATCGCTTTATCCTACAGAGAGATCGCAACATGGCATACGCAAATCAAGTCCAAGCAACTAGAAAGTAAAGTACTAAAACAGAAATTGCTGGAAAAGCTCAGCAGGTCTGGCAGCATCTGTTGAGAGCAATCAGAATTAATGTTTTGGGTTGAGTGACCCTTCCTCAGGACTGATGGTAGCTAAAAAGAAAGGTACATCAGTGCACATGCACTGACTCCAAATTGTGACACTTAAGGGATGGTGTTCACTCAACAAACACAGAATTCACAGGCATTCGTCTTCAAGTGTGACACTTTGAATATTAAATCGTCACAATGAGAACATCGATTTGGCATAATCTAGCTTCACAAAAATCCCTGAATTGCTGCTCACAACATGGTCTCATCTACACTGGGGAGGCAAAACACAGCCCGGGTGGCTGCTTTGTTGAACACCTACATTCTGTCTGTAAATATGGAGCTTCCAGCTGCCTGCCCACTTCAACACCCCACTCTGTTCCCCGGCCAACGTCTCTGTCTCAGGCTTGCTGCAGTGCTCCAGTGAGGCTCAGCACAAACTGGAAGAACACCATTTCATTTTCCGCTTGGGGGCCCTGTAGCATCCAGGGCTCAATATTGAGTTTAGTAATTTTGGAACCTGAACACCTTCTTCCATGTCCTTTACCCAGCCCCACAAGCCAGGCCCTATCATCACATGGCCTGCTTTTTGCACAGCCAACCCATTCTCACCTACTCACGGTCCCCAGCAGCAGCTTTCCTCCTTCCCTGGCTCACTATCATCCATCCCTTTATCTGCCTAACTTTTTCGTTCTTTCTTTCTTTGGGCTCCATCTCCGCCTATCCACTTACTCCTATACCCTCAACCACTCCGCCTCCCCCACCCTCTGTCATCAGCATTTATACACCATCTTTTCCTGGCCATTATCAGTTCTGAAGAAGGGTTAGTGAACCCGAAACGTTAACTCTGGTTCCCCTCCACAGATGCTGCCAGACCTGCTGAGTTTCCCCAGTAATTTCTGTTTTCCTTTCAGATCTTTAGCATCCGCAGTTCTTTGTTTTATTGTAATTGAAAACTCCAGGTAAAACAATGGAATGTTCTGGAATGACCGGGTGAAGAAAGTTCCAGAAGATCCATCCTCCCACGTTGGGGGCAGTGGTTCCAATCTGGTCTTTCAGACAGCAGTTTGAGAAATGAATCTGTTGTTCAGATTTATGCCCCTTATCCATCTTGTGTCTCCTCACGTGACCCATTGCCTTTCACCATCAATCCTTTGGTCATTTAATCTCTCTGATATTCCACCCTTTGAAGCAAGCCCTCACTTATTTTCTTTTGTCATCATCCCCTTTTCCTCTCTCCCCACTTGATTAAAAGCATTTATATCTCGAAACGTACTCCAGCTCAGTGGAAAAGTCAAACTGAAATGTTAAGTCTTATTTATTTATTTATTCGTGGAGTGTGGGTGTTGCTGGCTAGGCCAGCATTCACATTTAGGAATTACATGCAGGCCAGACCATGGAAGGACGGTAGATTTCCTTCACTAAAGGACATTAGTGAACCAGATGGTTCTTTCACAACAATTGACAGTTTTAATTCAACGTTTTTATTGAACCCAAAGTCCAACATCTGCCATGGCAAGATTCGAACCCACGTCACGAGAGGATTAATCCGGGTTCTGGATTGCTATCCCAGTGACATTACCATTACATCACTGCACTCAACTGTTTGTTTCTGCACAGATGATGCCCAGACCTTCTGAATATTCCAGCATGTTTTGTGTTTATTTCTAAAGCTATAACCCACCTTTATTATTAACAAAAGCAATGTGATGCATGATTAAAGTGACCACACCAACACTGAACAATGGTTACACTATACATTTTCATTACCTTTAGGGTAGTTTTCCTGCAAACAACAAGCCTCAAAAGGCACAATTCACCAAGACAGTAAACATTGGGAATGCCACCCCCTGCAAGTTCCCCTCCAAGCCACTCACCATCCTGACTTAGACATATCTTGCTATTCCTTCACTGTCTCTGGGTCAAAATCCTGGAATTCCCTCCCTAAGGGCATTGTGGGTCTGAAGCAGACAAAAGAAGGCAGCTCACCACCACCTTCTTAAGGGGGCAACAAATGCTGCTTAGCCAGCAACACTCATGTCCCACGAGTGAATTAAAAAAAAAGCAAAATGCTGTGGATGCTGGAAGTCTTAAGCAAAGACAGAGAATGCTTGAGAAATTCAGCAGGTCTGACAGCATTTGTGGAGTCAGAAACAGAGTTAACATTTCGAGTCCAGGATAACTCCTCTTCAGAACTCGGTAAACATTGCAGAGTTCCCACCTCAGAGTCCTTTGGGATTGATCAACACTACAGAACAACAGTTCTCACGTTTCAGGAACATATTAAAAACATCCCAAAACACTTCACAGGAGCAATGAGCAAACAAAACATTTGAGACTGATCCACAGGCAACCAAAAACTCGGCTGAAGATGTAGGTTTTGGTGGCAACGTTTTGTCCCATAAGACGATGTTATGTACCACGGTGGTTAACTAGGAGTTAAACACCACTGAGGAGTGCTTTGGGAACCACACTCCAGCAGGGCCTTTGCTGCAGAGGAAGGCAGTGAGCCGAAAAGGTGCATTTTACCTTAGCCTTGGTGTCCTCTGGGCCTATTTCTCAGCAGCTGAGCTTGAAAGTTTAGAAGAGGAAAGAGAGTTGCAATGAGGTTTCAGGAGAGAATTCCCAAGCCTCGAGCCCAGGTAGCTAAATAAAAAGGCACAGCTGGCAATGGAGGCCTGATGGAGGTCAAGCTATATGGGTGATTGGAATCAGAGCAGTGTAGAGATCTCAGAGGATTGTCAAAGCAGGTTGCAGAGATAGGTGCCTGCAGAAAATAAATATTCATTCAGCAATTAATGAGGCTGAATAATACATTTGAAACAACTTCACCGAAGCATACTAGATATCCTGAGCAAATACATACACTGGACTCATTGTGTTTAGTCTGCTAAACGTTAACCAACCCAATCCAGCTCTTAGCGTGAAGCCCTGAAGATTACAGAGCCACAACTGCACACCTGAAGGTTATTTTAAATGCCATGAGGATTGCTCCAACACAATGAGGAAGAAAATGCTTTAGAAATGAAAAGGCTGTTGGTTCTTTCTTTAAAGACAAATTCAAAATAAGATTTTCACACATCACTAATTAGCTGAAAATTCTTAAAGCTTTGATCCTTTATTTACAATCTGGTCACCAAACTTTGGGAAAGAGCAGGTTGAAGTGGGATTAATTGGACAGCTTGAATAAAGTGCCAAGCACAGGCGCAGTGGGCTGAATAGCCTCCTCTTTGCTAAATGACTAGACTCAGGGCAGTCTGAAGCAACTCTACACATCCCTTCTCAATTTTTAAAGAGCTCTGTGCTTGTTGCATCCACTAATTGAACATGTGAGTCATTCCACAATACAGATGATGTAGCATTAACCGGACAGCAATGAGAATGTGGAACACACTCCCACTGGGGATGGTGAGGTGAATTGTGTAGAAAGACGGAGAAAGGGTTAGAAGATTAGGCTGACAGGGAAAGACGAAGGAGGCCAGGAGGAGGCCTGTGTGGAGCATTAACACCAGTACGGATCTGTTGGGCAGAATGGTTCGCTTCCAAGCTGTGGTGCCAATGTAACAATAACACTCATGGAGAATGCATCACATCACAAGGTCACATTGTCTCTCACAGTTATGGCCATAGTCTATACCTCTGGACTCCTTCCAGCTGCTCTTTTGTGTAGACCTTTGCTGAATCAGCTTTGTTCTCCTTCTCCGATGTGGGCCCATTTTCGACCCCAGCGCCTGCAGATTTCCGCTGGTACGGTTTACCCGATTCAGATCGATGCCCACCACCAGCTGCACTCCCATTTCTGGTGATTGCTTCTATTAACGCTAAAAAAAGAAGGGAAGAGAAAAAGTGAGATAAAGATTGATAGATACTGACAGAGAAGTAGAGAGCACTCCAAATCCGCCAGCAAGCTGCAACCTGCTCCCAGGTACTGAGCAGTTTCCATTAGAACGTGACAGTCCCAGAGGAGCACAACACTCCACACAACATGTAAATTAGATGACTTTTGGCAGTTGTGTACAACACTCCCACTTTCCTGCTCAGTCACACACAAACAAAGAGCCTGTATTGACGTAGTTGAGGAGATGGAGGTAATCACACTTGACTAGTAATTCAGAGGCCCCGAGGCTAATAGTCTATGATGGAAATATGGGTTCAAACATGATAAATACGGTTTCAAGTCCTAACCATGGTAACTGGTGAAAGTTTTAAAAGTTCAATTAATTGGAATAGTCTCTCCAACACTGACAGTCATCATAAATGGAGCGAGTTCCCAGTGCCACTGTAGAACTCTTTACCACAGATGGCTGTCAAGGCTGGATCATTAAATATGATCAAGTCCGAGACAGACAGGCTTATTTTAAATCAGTGAGGGAATCAAGCAATTTGGGGAAAAGGCAGGAAAGTGGAGTCGACGATGAACAGATCAGCCACAATCTCATTGAATGATACAGTGGAATCGATGGGCTGAATGGCCTACGTTTGCTCTTACGTTTTATGGGCAAGATGGCCACCAGAATAGTTTGTGGTAATGACACAGCGACAAAGCACACTGTGCATCCACCCCACTCCCATCACTGCCCACTGCCCCTGCACTTGCCCTTCCTGTTGGCTGCTATCCCTCACTCCCACCTCCCACTGGTCTCTGCTCCTGCACTCACCCCTCCCCACTGCTGGCCATGACCCTCCCTACTCAGTGCATGGGAGAGACAATGATTCATTGACTTCACAGAGCCATTGCTCGGGGGTTGACTGTTAATCTGTGTTTCTACACTGGCATTTAGTTACCGTGTAAACAATAAATACAGTCAACCATTGATTGCTGTAAAAAAGTTATCTGGATCACTGATGCTCTTTAGGGAAGGAAATCTGCCGCTCTTTTCTTGTCTGGCCTACATGTGACTCCAGAACCAAAGGTGACTCATAATTACTCTCAAGGTGGATTTGGGATGGCAACAACTGCTCGTCTTGCCAGTGATGCTCACATCCCACAGAAGGATAAATAAAAATCTCACAACATTCTACTCTCTCTCATACATGCACATGTACATACACAGAAAGAGACACACACACACACACACACATACCCATCCTTGTGGAGGTGCCTACATGAAGAAACAGGAGATGGTCTAATTAGTGAAACAGAATTAATTTGAGGTGAAGAGATGGAGTTAATATAAAGAAATGAAAGAGGTTTGGGAGTTTACAGAGAATGTGTGAATTTTCAGAGAGAGTGGCAGTGGGGGTTTTGCAGGGAGAGGTGTTAGGTTTGCTGAGGGGACTGGGGTATGGTGCCAGCAGGACCATGAAGTGAATCAGGAAAAGCACATCCCTGATTTTGTTCAACTCTAACGGCCCTCCCTCCTGCACACCTCACCCCCACCCCCATAGTCTCACCCCGATGGAGAATCTTAAATACTCAGCAAGTCTGACAATGCTTGTGGAGAGAAAAGCTGTTCACTAATTGCATTTCAATGATTTTTCACCGGAACTGGAAAAACTTGACACGATTCTCTGGGAAAACTAAGAAGAATACTTCTGGTTTTGTATTTTTTTTTCAGATTTCCAGCTATCCTCTGTTTGTCCTTCAGCCCTAGTTCCATTCTGATAAATCTTCTCTGCACCTCCTCACAAGGTTTTGACATCCTGCCTCTGATGCCGGAATTGGACACAATACACCAGATGAGGTTTAACTAGTGACATACAGTGCAACTCCCTTCGTTCTGTCCTCATGCCTCTACTTATAAAGTTCAGGTTTTGAGAGCACCTACAACAATGTGGTACTCCCTCAGTATTGTACTAATCACCTAGTCTAGACTTTGTACTCAAGTTACAGGAGAGGGGCTTGCCTCAAAGGCCCAACTTTCTTACTCAGAAGCTAGAGTTTTACCCAACCAGCCAAGGTCTTTTCCACCACACTCTTCCCGTCCTGCCTTGGGGTTAAACAGAACCCTGCACCATTTCACACTGAAGACCCTCATCCATCTGTATTACCTGCCTTCAATTTAACAGGCAGGCAATCGGGAAGAACCATATCCACCAGACGCTAATTTTGACTTCCAGAACTACTGAAGAAATGGTGAACTTGGCAGACTGGATAATGATGTAAAATTTGTTACACTTTCTATGTAAAAATGCAGTTCGTAAAGTGAAAGGCACTCTGTGTCTCTATTGATAAAACCTACAATATAACAGCAGGAAGGGGAGAGAAACCTGTATAAAACACTAGTTTGGCCTCAACTGGACTGTTGTGTCCAATTCTGGGAACTACACTTTAGAAAGGATTTAGAATCATAGAATCCCCACAGTGTGGAACCATTCGGTCCATCGCATTCACACCAAGAAAAGCATCTCACCCAGACCCACTCCATTACCCTATCCCTATAACCCTGCATTTCCCATGGCTAACTCACCCAGCCTGCACATTCCTGGACACTACGGGCAATTTATAGTGGCCAATCCACCCTAACCTGCACATCGTTGGTCTGTGGGAGGAAAACAGAGCACCCGGAGGAAACCCACGCAGTCACGGGGAGAATGTGCAAACTCCACACAGGCAGTCGCCCGAGGGTGGAATCGAACTTGGGTCTCTGGTGCTGCGAGGCACTGGTGCCAAACACTGAGCCACCAAGCCATGAGGGTGTACAGAATGTTTACATGAATGATCCAGGGATGAGAATCTTCAGTTACATGGACAGATTCCACACAATCACGATCCTTCCCTGTCGCTGTAACACAATTATTCTGCATTCTATTCTATTACCCCAATGTACTTATGTAAGGTATGAGTTGTCTACTTAGCACTCAAAACTTTTTTCTGTACCTTTTCACTTTTCACTGTATCTCAGTACATGTGACAATGAATCAAATCAGAAAAAGCTCCCGAAGGTTCTTTATTGATTGCAAGAAGCAAAGTCTCCTTACTGATATGGCCATTACAGTCTAATCTGTTCCTTCACATCACATGGCACAAAGGACAAAACAAGGGTAAAGATCCTGCAAGGCAGTTGTTCACATCCACAGCGAAGGAGGCATCAATTTCCACCCCAGTGTCAGCCTTGTTTTCTTTTATAATTCATTCAGCAACTTCAAGCCCTTCATGAAAATAAGGTAACATGGTCACCTCTCGAAGTCCCAAACAGACCAGGAGATGTGAGCTTTCCAAACATCTTCCCACTTTTCCCTCAATTCTTCACTCCTCCTGAAATTGGGCTGAAACCAGCACGGTTCCAAACCTCCCCACCGTCCACCCAACTCAACCTCATCCCCTCTAAGCCCGCAACACACTCCTGCCCCCACCACCAATGCCCCACACCCCTCAAACCCTCCCCCAATCAGCAATCCCAACTCAAACCCTTGCACTTCACCAGCCCGCACCCACCCCACCCTCAAAAAAACCACCACCACTCCCAAAGGAAAGTTCAAGCAAAGTTTGACACAAGATTCAAGCTTATTACTCCTCTATTAGCTAACCATTGTTGACCCGAGTTTCCTGTTAGAGAACACACACAGATTCGTTAACAGAGGCACAGTGGAATACTTTAGTGCCTGAGTTTGAAACAGTATGTGTTCCTGGAGCGTTCAGCTCACATGGGATAGTTGTGGTCAACGAGGTTCAATGTTTGTTATGATCTAGACTTCAGACTGAGGCAGGTTTCTTGTTCAAAATCAGTTTCCATTTAAACCAGTAGCTGAATGTTTTCTTTCTTAGTTGACTGGTCATGGAGTTTGCTGGTTATATTTGTCTCATGCCCCTTTAGTGATAATAGCAGGTAAACATGTTAAATGGGCACATTGATTCTGTTTGCAATACTGCAGGATATTTGAATGGCGATGTTAAATAAATTTACTGGGATCATACCAGAAACAAGAGCAAAGACTGAATCCCCTGGGGCTCTTCTCTCTGGAAAAGGACACTGAGACATGATGTGAAGGAGATCTTCAAGATGATCAAAGAGTTCAATAGGACAGACTCAGAGAAGACACTTTCACCTATAGGGAAAGGCCAGAACTAGATGGAGATCATAAAGAAAATTAATAAATGCAGCAAGAAACTCCTTTACACAGACAGTGGTGAGAATGTGGAACCCTGGTGATGTTGAGGTAGATTGTGTAGATGAACTTAAGGGGGAAACTGGATAAACACATAAGCAGTAGTAGACAGACCCAAGAACAGCCTGAAGCAGTGTTAGAAGCTCTTGTGGAACATAAAAGACGAGAACAGACCAGCTGGACTAAATGGCCTGTTTCTGTGCTGGGCTTCTGTGTATATACATCCAAGCCTTGGATCTATCTGGGTCTCATTAACAGTTTCTGCACATGGTTTATACAGGCCAGTCGTTATAGATTTCCCTGACAAATATGAAGGGTCACACCACTTTAAGATATTTATTGCTTAATTGTGTTCAAGGAGTTTGAACGAAAAGCACTTGGTTTAAAAGGTTCATTCTAGGTAAATAACTTTAGGCACTTAATATAATTACTTTAGGAGGTGGAAGGCTATTTTGAAGAGAAAGGAAGCAGAGAATCCAAAGCTATACAATTAAATATAGTTACAATGGGATTTGACCGTTCAGCCTTTGAGTCTATTGCATTATTCAGTTAGATCACAGCTGATATGTATCTGAATGCTGTCTACACACCTGAGTTCTGTAATCCTTAAACCCTGCCCCGTACTCAATAAAAATCCATCAATCTCTTCTGAACTGTTCAACTGGCCTCCAGCCCCACTAGCTTTATTGAGGGAAGAAGACATTTTTAGAGTTAACATTTCGGGTCCAGTGATCCTCCCTCAGAACCTCGGGTCACCGGACCCGAAACCTTA